ATTATTACATTTATTGTTTTATAGAATTCTACATTACTTTATTAAATTATTTTTGAGACATTCTTTTCTCTCACCCTCTCTCTCCCTCTCTCTCTCTCTCTCTCTCAGCTTGTGCTTAAATTTATTAAAAAAACTTTTATACTACTATTTTTATTTCTATTGCATTGCATTATGTAATCAATTAAATTTCCTACAGATTAATGTATTGTAACATGTATAAGATTACTGATATTAAAGAGATATTATAAATAAAATCACCAATCTATAGGATATTAAAAGAACAAAATAGATTTCTGTAATATTATATTTTCTCTTACTTCAGCCTGTATTTGATGGTTCGCGAGCTATGTTTAGATCAGCATATGCAAGCGTAACTTTGTCTGGCGCCAAGAAACAAAATATGCAGCACAAGTTCAGAAATATAAAGTTACATCGAAAACAGCCGACAGTCAACACTTTCCTGAAACGTTACATATGTCTTTAGAACGCCGTATTGCGGTGCTTGAGATAGACTACTTCCAGAGTTTTCGTAAAGTCTGATATAATGCTGTTTAGTCAAGTCGAGCAGATAATAAAAGCAGATAGTAATCAGATTTCACAAGTATGCGCTCTTTATTACTTCAAGAGAAGAGAGACATGTGTTAAAATAATTGAATTAAACAATCGTGATTACTGTTTTAGTCATATTCTGTATAAAAGATTTTGATTTTAAATTTATATATATATATATATATATATATATATATATAGTTGGATTTTATACACACACATATATATATATATATATATATATATGTATAATTTTTGACGTTTTACGCTATTTTACGATTAAAATTTCTTCTATTAATAAGATGGTTAATTCTAGCACTTTAGCAATTAAGTAATGATATTAACGGTACAATAAATATAAGCGTGCACTATCCAAATAATTATGAATTCATTGAATCATGAAATGTCTCAATTCGTATATTCACTGTTCGCTCGGTTTTCGACATTTAATGATGTTATTTGCAAAAGATCTGTTATTTATCATAATTATTCCATCCGCGTGACGGCGCGTGATATTCCATATCATTCACACTAACTGTTTTAATTAGGATAAATTGTCTGAATATCGACGTTAAATGACAAGAAGTACATACAAACATTGTACAGTCGTCAAGCACTTTACCTGATTTTTTTTTCTAAATTAAAAGGATATTTGTATATTTATTTGTACACGTAAAAAAGAGAGAGAAAAATATAATTAGACTTGTCCAGAATATTTGAACATTTTTTAAATAATATATAATACAATCTTTTATAATTTAAATGTAATATTAATTAAAGTAAAATCCGGTTACAAATTGTTTTTCAAAGAGTTTTTAGGCTCTCAATATGTAAAAATATACAAATTGCGTTATAATTTGGTAAATGTAATAAGCATAACATACAAGTAAATAATAAATATCTATGTAATATAATTCCTATAAAATTAAAAATATACATTACTATTTGATGTGAGAAATCGAGGGTAGCACAGTATCTTGACAAAGCATGCATCTCTGTTGATGTATGTCACATAATTCATCTTTCGATAGAGGCTTAAGGGCTCTCTCTCTCTCTCTCTTTCTCTCTCTCTCTCTCTCTCTCTCTCTCTTTCTGTGTGTGTATGTGTTTTGTATAGATTAATGTCTCAAAGCTGGTTAATTTATTCATAACTAACTTAATTTGATTCCAAACTAAATTCTTTTAAAGTTCTTAATTGTTAAACAACAGCTCAGTATGAAATTTAATGCATTACAATAAAAAAGTATTATTTTCCGTGTTTTTTATATACATTTTTTATATACATATATATAAATCAATGAATATATCGATAATAATATTAATATTTATTTCTGCAGAGATGTTATAATACCTGGCAACATTAAAAGAAAATTTTATAAATTACATTATTAGCTATACACAATTTTGAGGATCAATATTTATCAGACGAAGCAATCTTCACACTTCTTCACGAACGTACGATATCTTTCTTTGGCGAGTCCGAGACGTTTTACGTCAGGCACGTAGAAGCTGCCCGCGACGGCGGACACCTAGTAACGAGGGGCTTTCTGTCGGAATTGGTTGTTTTAACAACTGTGCAGCACTTTGAGATGCGAGAGAGTTTTGCGTAAGACAGACAAAGACACAAAGAGAGAAAGGAAATGTAGCAAGAAAGGAAGGAGAGAGAAATGGGGGCGGAAGCAAAACGTAATGTGGAAGAGCTCCCAAATATAGTGGATGGGCGAGAAAATATGCGGTTCTCGCGAAAACGCGTTTCTGAGGTATGAGAGCTACGAGCTTAATAGTCCAATTTGACGGCAAAGGAAAATACCGCAGAGAATCCTACAAGTAAAAGGAGACTTGCGTTGCTGCCTCTGGCGGTAGCAGCAATGGCTGCGCGAAAAAGACCGCTAGAAAATTGAAGATGTACGGAAACACGATGTAGAATGATGTAGAAGTGAAACTTAACCGTCCAGCGTTGTCACTGATTTTTCGCTAAAGAAATTGCGAAGTTTCTTTGGCACCGATTTGATATATATTGTATCGATTATTATTTGTATAGACGGAAAATTTTATAACACAATTAGATGAAAATATCGGAAAAATTAAAAGTAAAATACCATAAAACAAAACTAAAAGGTTATGATTTCAAAAATAAGTGCAATCGTGGAAATTAAGTAATGTCTTTACCTTGATAAATTCATTAAACTCTGATACATATATTTAATATTTAATTAGCTGATCCCGTAACTCTCTCTCTCTCTCTCTCTCTCTCTCTCTCTCTCTCTCTCTCTCTCTCTCTTTCGCGCGCGCGCTCTCTTTCTCTAACATCTGGCTCGCACAGATATACTGTATTTCACGTCAAAATATTTTGATATAAATTAGTGATGCTGGACACACCTCATCATTGAAACGCTAATCGGTAACGGGAGACTTTTTACTCGAAATTTGAGTACGTTTCCACGCCCGCTGTCAAATCTTAAATCGGCTGCTTAAAGCTGCTACGCCCTTTGAAATATTGTTACCTTGTTAAGTTTATACTTTCTATAATAAAGCTAATTGTAAGTGATGTTATAGCTCTATTTACATTGCCTGAATTAAAAACAATATTTTTTTTATTGAGGTAAATTCATCACTAATCTGCTTTAGATAATCTTCAACAATCATTTCATCATTTATATCATTTAATACGATTTGATAAAGTTGTATAAGTTAAATATTAAAATTATTTGTGTATTTTATTCCTAGATAATCCTGGTGCTTAAATTAAAGAAGCTTAATTGAAGAAGTTTACTTTAAAAATCTTTTTATCAAAATTATATATAATTATAAATAATATTGTACTGTTATAAATAATTATACTATTAAATATACACACAGGAGTTTTAGTAAGCAATATTACTTTTTAAGACGCAATAGCAATTACTGAAACCATTAATTTAAGAAGTATTATTGCAAATATTCCAAATTAATGCATAATTTATAATATCTATAAAATTTGATATCAAAAGAAATAAGATATTAAAGAATTAACGATATATTTTACAAACATTCCCATAAATTGCTAGTGATAATTAATTGATCGACTATACGATTGTGACAATGGATGTTTGTAGCAAGTAATGCAGAAACTTATCCCCATTAGATGCAAAGCTCATCCTCAGTAATCATTTTCAACTTGTCGTCTCTTGTTTCGAGCGACATCGCTTTGCAGGCTAAGCGGGTCGCGCTTAATGGCTCGTAAAAATCGAAATCATCGCGCACATGAATACGTAAGCAGTTTTTTCAGTCTTCCAATGTGCACATGATGTCATCATATGGCGATAATGGTTATGACATCTGTAGAACTCATTGCTGTGAATCACGAAAAGTGACGATAGCTAGTATTATTTATTACTAATATTTGGATTGTATTTCTGCCTATTTCTCTCATTTATGATTAACTAACAAAATTGAAATTTTTTGCAATCTATGAAATAATGCTTTAGAAATCTAATTCTTATTTCGACACACTTGAGGACTATAAATTATAATTATTTGCTACTAATATAATTAAGAGATTAATGCACGTGTGTTTCATTTGTATGGTTTGGTGGTTAGTTTTATTTGCAGCTTCTCGTAAACAAAATACGTAACTCGAAAACGTTACTTTTAGTACACTTTTGTTGGATGGAACTAATATCGCATACACACATCCTACAAGCACGATTAATTTTTTACAGTGCTTACATTCGAGAAGTATCATTATAAATTCAACTCGACTACATGAACGCATTTACGTTTCTGGTAGTCGAAACTTTCTGAAACTTTTCGAGAAAAAACTAATGAATTTGCCTACCAGGAAAATATGTAAAAGCACCCTAACCACAGGCATATATGTATACACATGTGTATGACATATACATATGTGTATAATAGACCGAGCATTCTCATTGTAGAAATTCTGGCAAGATCTGAAGGACAGAAGCTATGCTTGCTGAAATTGTTTCCTTGTTTCTCCAACTCTCTCCTTCTTTCCTGCACCAACGATAGTTAGAAAAGGTTAGAAAAGGAAAGCGTCTCAGCAAGCATATCTTCTGTCTTTCAGATCTTGCCAAAAGCTCTTCAATGGCAATGTTCAGTTTATGATCCTAACGCATATAAAAATTAAATTTTGGACAAGTTATGACTTTCCACAGATATATATGCTTTCTCTTGATAAAATCAATTCTTTTCTGTTTTTAACTCATATTCTATTAGATTTTTAAATAGGTTATATAGGTTTTTTCATATTTCGGTTTTTAAATAAATATATTAACGTTAAAAAAATTTAGAAATATTTAACATTACCCTTGATTCTTTGTTACTTACATGTACATATGTGTTTTACACAAATTACTTGCGTCATATATCTTATTGAGTAACTAAAGTCTTGTTTCAATTTACTGTAATATTTTTATGTTAGAAATATCACATTTTTATGCAAATCTTACCTGGACTCGTATTGGAGAATGACCCTTTCGATTGCGAAAATCCTAAAACAAAGAAAAAAATGTGTTAAATTATCAGTAACTAAGAATGTTAATTAATAATTAATTAATGAAAATAGTTCAATTCAATAATTACTAAATTTTATTATGGGCAAGTAATATATGACTAATAAATGATATTTGTCTAAAAAAATTAAGTAAATAGTTTAACGTTAAATTTACATTCCTTTGAGAATGTATCATTATTAAATGAATAAGTATAGTACACACAGTTAACGCGAGCTTTGACTAACAAATGCGCGGAATAAATTTGATGATTATTTCATTTCTCCCTACTAAAATATTCTAAATCTCAATGATCTTTAGCCTTCTTTATACCTACAGAAACATACATTACGCTCAAATGCGCGCTATTCTTAATTACTTAGAGCAAGAATTAAGTGTAACTCAATTAATTAAAATCTTATAAAAAGATTTTTTCTATCTCAAAGGAAAGGAGGCGTCCGTGATCTCGATCGTCTCGTTCAAATGATTCTTAAAAGAATCCGCTGTTCTACTCCCTGGATATATCTATGACAAGACAAAGTTAATCAATTTGAAATCTAAATCAACAATAAACGCCCAGAATATTTATTAACTGCTCAAGGATAAGAAAGAAGACTTTCTGAGTTATTTACATGCAGTCGTTTTTAAATATATTACTTTTAATGATTTTATTAAAAATAATTTGACACAACTATAACGTAATAAGCTACATTCTTTTTTAATTGAAATTAAGAAATTTAAATTATTGATCATACAATTGTGCTAATTTACACATTGCTTCATTGATTAACATATGTTACAACAATATGTAAATAAATTAACATATCCTATAGTAATCTCTGTGAAATATAAATTCTTTTCTGCCTGACGTAAGGAAATATTCATTTTATATTTTCTAAAGAATCTTTGCAATTATATTCTTCTATTTATTTACTATAAATGCTTGCGATTTAAATATTATAATTAATCTTTAACTATTAATTGCTCTTCCAATTCTATTATGTAATAAAGAAATAGGAATTTTTTTAATATTGCAAAAGCAATATTTAAAGCAAAAAAACCACCACGTTAAGACGCTTCACAACGCAGCCATGTTCTGATAAAGTCATCCCACCGTGCGTGACGTAGAAGCTAGGGTGGCGAAAAACAGGGGTTGGAAAAGATTTGCCTTCTAAGAAAGTTGGGGCTTGTTGGCGGGTGCAAGATAGACTTGGCGTTTCACGGAGGGAAGGTTGGCAATGATGGTGGCGGAATTGCACCCTCAAATGACTTTAACGAGCCGGCGTCTTAAAATAGGGATGCCAAGTTTGACCCGAGTTTGCACGTTTGTTTGATAAATTAATCCAGAAAAGTACAGCCCGCCGACGGAAGGTTTAACAAGCCTCACTATTCAATCTACGGAAAGTGGTACGCTTAATTCTTTCAGGAAAATTTTATATATAACAATATTTGTATATAACGAAAAAAATGATTGCTCTATGTTTATTAAAATATTCTAGACATTCTGAATCTTAGATATTATGTTTAGAGACGTAATTTTGATATAGACGCAAAACACGTTTTAAGTAATTCATTTTAATGATACAATAAGTCTGATAGAATAATCGAGAGGGAGAGAGAGAAAGAGAGAGAGAGAGACTTTTAGATATTTTTTTTAATTTTGCATCATTTTCAATCAATTCAAAATATTAGTATATATTAGTATATTAGTATATTTTATCTCCATATCAATATGAGCATGGTTAAGCCAATACATCATAACATCAACTTTTTCGTAATGCTATTAGCTAACAGATCATTGTACAATAACGTTAATTGCACAAAAACTATCCAATTTTCGGCAAAAACATCGCCGGAAATTGAGCTCTCTTTCAACGTAAATACCACATATCGTGTGCGAAACTGTTCACTTGAAATCTCAATAGATTGATACGACATTCTACGGTTTTTCCTATCCATTTTCCTTTCACGAGATCGGCGGCTGCCGAACGTGGTGAAACTTAAACCTCAATCGCGCACTCGGGTGGAAGGTTTCAGATTTTTTGAAAACCCCATAATGCGCATCGCCTCGTTGATGCGGTAGAGGGGGACAGACAGACCCCCATTGAGAAAAATCCGTTTCCTAGGCTCGTGTTACCCGGCGTATTTTGACAAGATCTTATTGTCGTCGCACGGCTAAGCCCTATTGACCCTATTATGGCCCTATTAGTATTATACTAGGATTTGCGGTTACTCCTTGAAAGGAGTCCTCTACGGGTCTCTTTTACGGTCGAAGGCGTGCACGCGGACTGCACGAAGGCTGCAGGACACGCCGCGCCGGCCCATTCAACACGCTGCTCAATGCTCGAGCGTATCTTCTCAATAACTTGACATGCGATTTCTTTCGAAAGAATCAAGTCTTCTCTGTTTTTACATTTATATTTGCTGCATAGTATATAGCTGCATATATTTCACTTGCTACTTATTGCTAGTGCAGGTTTGTGAAATTTCAATAATTGAAAAGAAAAGAGAAAGAATGAAAGAGCGTAATTGTTTGATTAAAAATTAGGTAATTAAATTATTAATCAAATTTAAGAAATCATATATCTGAAATAAACTTATAAAAATAAAAAAGCATAAAGATGTAAGTATTAAAAAATTAATATAATCTAATTTATATAAATATATAATAACAAGTAAAATAAAAAAGCAAGAAAACATTCCGTCAGATAATCAAAAATAAGAGAAAAAAATAGATAAGAAAAACGTATATATAAATCAAGAAACATGGTAGTATTTCGCGTCAAGCGAGACCGCACCGTGACTCTTTTAAGCGACGCGACGAGTTGCGAGTACCCGAGATTTTGAGATCTCGGTAACCAGTGATATACACACACACGCGCGCGCGCGAGGGTCGGTACGAAAGTAATGCCTCTTAATTTTTTTCTTTCGAATCTGGCGCCATAGAAAATGTTGCGTGTATATATGTATGTAAAGTTAAATTAACTAATAAAAGGAAAATTTAATTAATAAAAAAAGCTAACAAAAGAAAGAAAATGTATATAATAAAAATAATAAAAAAAGATAGAGAAAACAGTTAGGAAATCGATAAGTATCTACAAAAGTGCGACGTACGACACAGAGATTGGTACACTAGAAAAGAGAGAAAGAAAAAGGGGGAATGGAAAGAGAATGCACGAGTAACGGAGGGATGAACGGATGAGAGAAAGGGTGGTATATGCGTGAACAAAGTAGGGATCAACAAGGAAAGAATTTTGTAGACAGGAGAGAAGAAGACAATTATACGATAGAGCTACGAGAGCAAGAAAGTGAGGAGATTAGGAAAAAGGAACGCAGCAGAAGCGTGTTATGGCAAGACAATAAAGGGGAGAGAGGCAACAACGCCCGCGTGTGTTCGAGGCGTGATTTCACGTATGCCTGTGAAGTACTCTTTAGTGAAGACAATCGAGGTGTTGGGTTGGAAATCCGTACCAATTTGAGCGACTTACGCGCATTCGCTTAAACAATGCTATATGAATGCGATAAGATAAAGCATCAGAGTGTCTATTAG